GTCAAACATTAATTTTTGCTTTCTGTTTTATCCTAAATAGCTGAAGTTACCAAGAAGATCCTTGATCTTCTGGTAACCTGGGGAACTCTATGAACTGGTGACGGGGGCGGGGAGAAAGAGAGGGAGGGAGGGAGAGGGAGGGGGGGAATGTGTGAGAACTTCTCAGGGTGGTGGCAGGTGCTGCTTTACCTAGAGTTACCAGGAAAGTAATTTCTCACAACAATCACTGTGCTGAAATTCTACTAAATTTTTTTCATACCCTCCCCTACTGTTATTAAAAAATTTGATCTATATTACACAGTTAATCACTTACAAAAAAGCCAACTCTCAATTATCTATTGAAATAAAGCAAATCACACAAACCAAAATCCCCAAATCTCCTTTCAATTGACTTTGGAATATATATATTTTTGTACTTTTGCTCTTGGCAAAAGAAGCGCCAGGTACATGGGGATTTTTTTTAAAACGTCCAAAGGAATCATAAAGGTACATTCATGTATTTTATGCCCTATCCATCTTCCCTCGTCTTTATAGTTACTCTCAGGCAGATCAAAGAATTAACCTAAGAAAAGCTACAAGGGAAACTGCCTCCAATTTTTCAACTTTGCATTCCAAGGTACGAGCTGAATCTCTATGTAAGGTTGAGTGGGGAAGAGAGTATTGAGAAGGGGCTATTAAGACAATGACTGCTGCCCTTTCAAGATCTTTCTCTGAATTCCTATGGTGTCTTGGAGGAATTATGAAAAAGTGAATTAGTGATGATGTTAAAGAATGTACTGCAGAGAAGTGAGACTGCTAAGAACTTATGCAAAGATTGGCCTGAAATTAGCCACCAGGCAGGCCAGTGGGGTAATTTAGGATTGACTCCATCCACTGCCTTCAATGCCGTCGGAGCAGTAGAGTAGGCAGGTGATGGGAAATAAAGTTCACTTGAGGGAAGGAAAAGAGTGAAGAGTGAAAGGCTGCTGGAGATGTTTGAAGCTGCATAAGAAAGTCTGGGTGGACAGAAAGAAGGGTGAGCAGTCCTCAAAGTGGCCAAAGAATATCCATAGTCAGCAGAATATTGCTGCACCCTCAAGAAAATAGTACGCAGAGACATTACAAGGCCTTGGGGGTCCTCTTGTTATGACTAAACATCTTTAAGTTGCTAAGATAAATCAATTCAGGTCTCCATCTGGGGTTCTGGTAGGCCTTGGAGAAAGTCGGAGTCCTCAAACAGAAGAATCTTTGTGTGGCCACCCCTGAACAGAAGAGACTCTGGCCTAGGTGTGGAACAGAGGCTGCAGCACTTTCCAGAAGAAAGGCAGGAGACAGGAGAGAGAGAAAGGCCCAGACTAGAGAGGCTTCGGGATATGAGCTGTCTGGAGGTAGGATAAAGGGCTGCAACGGCAGTGGGAGCTATAGTGTGACCTTGAGGACATGACAAGATTGAGGGTATGCATGAGACATGTTACACAGAACTAAGCTGGGGAGGGCCTGGGAGAATTTCCGGGTCTAAGGTTGACAGGCTACACCATGTGGCATTTTTTTTAGCATCTCCCCCACTCAAGTCCCATCTATGCTCTTAGACTCTGCCACATTCAGTATTAACCAAACGGTTATGAGTTCATTGTTCATTGAAAACCCACACTGACAAACCAGGCAAAACTGAGAGAATCTGATTGAATTAGCAGTGTTTGGGTTGGTTTTGTAAATAAATGTATCCAAACTGAATACAGCAGTACGTGATTCAATAACAATTACCTAAACTAATTAACTTTATAAAAGTATGGATGTAAATCATGTACATTTAAGAAAGCTATAGCTTTCTAAAGGTTATAGTAACACAAACTTGTGATATTACATTTTGTAAATCCCTCAGAATTAACAGGCACCAAATGCTGGTCTCTCCATCAGAGGGTGAACTTACTGAGTAATTGCAGTTCATTTCTCTAGGATCCAAGTGCTGAGAGGAGAGAACGTTAGACATGGAAGGGACCTTAAGAATCAGTTGTCCAACCCTCTTACTGTATAAACGAGGACTTTGAGGCCCAAATACGTTAACAGACAGTATTTATCTTTTAATAACAATCTTCATCACTGATTTGAAACTGTTTGACTTCCATTAATAATATTGCACATATTTTTATGAAATGTCATTTTTTATAAACCACCTAAGAGTTAAATTATATAAACCTATGATTGTAATGTAGAACAAAAATTTCTAATGAAAGCTAAGAATTTGTTTTTGCACAACCTGAAAGATAAATTGTATAAAATTTCTAGGGAAAAAAAAAGAGACTATGTTTAATTAGAATTTCAAAATGAAAGCGTAGAATCTGGGTCATATTGAGCCAAATCCTCTGTAAAATTCAGCAATCTTATATTTCTTATTTAAGTCAAAGTATTTCTACTACGATGCTCTTTAAAGTATCTAGTGGTACTGAGAACATTTATACAAGTTGTAAGCCTAAAAAAAATGGAATCATAATTAAGTATTTATTATATACCTTCTTTTGCATAATTTATAGGATAATCAAGGTTTCAAGACCTGAATCATGAATATTCTGAGAATGCTCTCTAGATAGTGACTGAGATTAATTTTTAATAAATTAAGAAGAAGAAAAAAACCTGTCATGGTTGAATATATGCACTGTAGGAATGAGATCTGGGGACTAAAAATAAGTCACTTCACAGAACACTGTACCCAGGGAAAATTAATGAGCACATTAATAATACATCCTGAATAAATAATGACATCAACAATAGCCATTCTGTCTAATCCTACCCCTAAATGTCAAACATTTTATCATATTACTACATGATTTCCCAGTGTCTGCTACTTGCCCAGGTGAATCTGTACATATTTGCACATAATCCAGTTAAAACTGTGATCTCATTGAATTGTAAACAGAGTTGATAAAGGAGAAGCTCACTGTTGTAGTGCCTAACGAGAGTATCGCTTACATTTTAAAGAACACGGTGTGTAGCAGCAATTTAAAATGCTCAGGAAACTACAGTACAAATGGACTTCTATGCTATACAGCAAACCAGCATTCTCTTAATATCTCTACACCATAATGACACATATAAGGAAATTACTTGACCAACTGCTATATATATTGCCAGTTTATTTATTTGATCCAGTTTGACAACATCAACATAACTGATTCCTAAACTGATATGTACCCAATAGCGATTCTTTTTCTGCTTAGCACAGAGGAGGTTCTCTGTTGGCGCCTTCTTAACAACAGCTCACATCTGGAATTTATGTTTTTTATACCATTTAGATGCAGTGCTAAGGATTTAAAATAAATACTGGCAACTGAAGACACATTTTTTTCCCTTCTTTCTGTTATTTACCTGCATATAAACTCCAGCCACCTAACTGACCAAGGGTGAATGTTGCTATAAAGTTAACATAGCACAAAGGAGCTTAATTTTCTTTTCAAGGTGATGAAAGTATTCTAGGGAGATTTTCAGTTAACAATCTCTTGTTTGGAAGATAACCACTACTTTCTCTTTAAAAATGCGCTTTCAGTAGCTCACTGGGAATAATGGGTTCTTATTTCAGGCAAGAAATGTATTGTCACTGTTTGCCCTGACATCATTTTCAGACCCGGGATATGAATCCCAGGCCCAGGCTGGCTGGAATCTGGATGGTTTCTAGTGCAAGGGAGGATGGGTTAAAAGGAAAGGTGACGGGAAAGATGTGTTTAGCATCCATGAGCAGCTGAGGAGAGTCCTTCCTGTCTCGTAAACGCATCTGAGAAGATTAAAAAACAAAAAACAGAGCATCAATTCTTTCGATCTATAAAGATTTTTCTTCTGCCAAAAATCCCACCAAAAAGTCCTCAACTAATAAAGTTTATATTTGTTTTAAAATCAGTTCGTTTTCCAATAAGCTATAATCCAAATAACAATGCACCAAAAAAATAAGATAAAATAATATAATAAAGAACATATTATCCTTCAATAAACTGTAAAATTTCTATTCAAAAGACTATGTTAGTGAATCAAAGAAAAAGAAAGTCTGGGAAATCTTACCTGTATAGTACGAATAAATGACACAGAGACTCTTTCTTCAAACTCATTAACTGGCGTATACAAATTCAACACTTTGACAATCTGAGAAGTGAAATGAGCAAAGCTTTTAGCATATTATGAGATACACACCCAGTGCTTATAATCTGGGGGAACTAAAAGGATCTGTGTGAACAGTTTTCTATTCTACTCAGGGCTGAGCTGGGACAAGAGGGGAGAGGGAGATGGTATAAAGGCACATTTACTGTTATTACCTGATTTTTACAATAAGAATGTATTAATCTTTGTACATTTTAAGAAGCAATGTAAATTTGGAAAAACATTCAAACTGTACAAAAGAACACAACATGAAAAAGTAAAAAGCGTCCCTATTCCCATTCTCCCAGTGTCCCAAAGTGATAATTTTCAACAGTGTCTATAGTAACCACCTGGGTACTTACTGTACATAATCTATACATAATCCACATAAGATTTCTGTCCTGAAATATGTGATGAACGTTAAGAATGTCCAAGAGTCAGCATAGAAATCACTGGACAAAAGGAAAATGGGCATGTTTATGCCTATGACTTGCCTCATGCTGCTGCCGTTGTCCTCAGTGTCCTCCCTTCCCTTCTTCTCACTCCTTAAATTCAATGTCCAGCTTGATGGGACCTTCTCAGAACGCAGTTCTCAGCCCTCATCACTTCCTTTAGACATCTTACCATTGAACTTACTAGAATCTCTTATGGTAGAATCAGGTGGACACATCTGTCTTCCCTACTAAACTTGAAGTTCCTTAAGAAGGGATTGTTCCTTATTTATTGAAGTATTCTCTCCTAGCAACAAGTATGGCACCTTCAGATAGAAACTCAATTCATCATTTATTGAATTGAAGGAACAGAATTATCTGTCTTAAAATAGAGACATCTAAAGAATCATTCAATTATAAAATTATTTCTTGGAATACGAGCTCCACGAAACGTATAGAACATATACCCCATGAGAGCACGAACTGTGTAGATATATATTTTTTCTGACATAGATGAAGTCAGTTCAGAGACCAGAGCAATAGCTAGAAGACTTCTTTATCTGTCTAACCCCTGATGAATGTTAAATTACTTCAAAATAAGGAAAGTTTCTTTACCTGGGCAGTAGTTAAAGCATTGCACATGGAACAAATGGCTTCTGCATCATCATCTGTTTTCTTTTTCACTTGTAAAAGCTGAGCAGCCTGAATGAGAGGTTCCAGGGTTTCTTTAGCCCCACTGTTCATCAGATTCTTGTCACGGAGCCATTCTTCCAGTTGACTGACATTGTACCTATGCCCCCCCAAAAAAGAAAGGGGAGACAGAGAGAGAGAGAGAACTCAAAGTTACTGAATGTTGTCATAAATGTCTTACTTTTTTGTGTGTGGCATTGTCAGGAATTTCAGTTAAATGACAGGTAGTATTTTTGTTCACTTTTCTTAAATTTTATCAGCTGTGCTTAAAAATTATTATAAAAAGATATGAGGTTTATAAGCATAATTACATAAAAGAGTAGAAAATATAATTATCTTTAATGGAAGATAGAAAAATAGCCATTACAGCAAAAGTTATGAAATAAGACTTGCTGAAAGACAAAATAGAACACCTTAAATGGCTATGTCCTTATTAAACAGCTGGCCAGAAAACACTTTCTAGTTTCTCTTACAACTTCAGAGGTGAGAATTAATAATCCTTTAAGTCTTCTCTCTGTCTTAAGTCAAACTCATGCTAGTTAATTAAATAAGATCCCCTCACATAGACTTTGTACTCCAGTCCTCTTTAGGGAAGAGCCTGGGCAAGAGAGGAGACAGTGACCTGAGGAAGCTTAGGAGTGGAAGGTGAGAAAGGCGAGTGGGGGCCATTGGAAGAGACAAAAACCCCAAATATGTAGAGAAAGCAACTACATAGATGCTGAGGTATCAAGAGGTGGCCAACCAAGTAACTGGTTCTTAAACTAAAATGAGGTAAACAGACAATCAGAACTTAGCAATCAAGCAAATAGGAGGAATTATGATATTATGACAGGTGCTTCACATGCATAAACAAAGCTTATAGAGAAATAAACTCTACTGCTTGAGTGTAAGGCGTTATCTTAACATTAACTATATCAGAGGTGGATCAGAATGGAAAATTTGAAAAGAATGCCAATGTTTCCTGAGGCTGAGTAACTAAAGACTTTTGTAGAAGATATCCTTTTTTTCCCCTCTTGGTGAATATTCTACCTGTTTTAAAATAAATTATTTTCAAAATAAATCAATTCTGTTATGGTGAAGAGGTTATGCTGAGGAGTAGCTGGGCATAAAATTGAGTGCAACTTTTCTTAAAATATAGAGGGGTATACACATTTCAAGTGTTAGTAAAAGATTAGACATGTTCTTGCTGCCATAGGTACGAAAAGGTATTTTGTTAAAATAAACTTCTAAGAGCAATCAAACATTAGAAATCTTCATTATCATTTTTGTTATTGTACAATTATAATACCCACAAAAGGAGAGAAAGCTGTAATCTCATCTTTATTTTTCATCCTCTCTCTACTCCCTGAAAGGAGTTAGCTTCGCAGTGGAGCAGGGTCCCTAACAAGCAGTGAGTAGAGCTGTTGCAGTGAATAGTGCAGCCAAGAGCAATAATGGAAGTGGGGAACTCCAGCCAGGCAAGAAGAGGTGGCTCAATGCTGTCTTCCCTTGCTGCTTGGCTGGTGGCTGCAGACATCAGGTGCACTGACCTCAAACAAGTAAGTGACCAGCTCTCTACACCCTAGCCAGGCCTAGCAAGCAGTTGGGCAGGAGAAGGAGCTATGACAGGTGCTGGCATTTGCTCACCTGATCTGCATGCCTTTACTCCAGGAGCACATGTCCTTCCGCAGGAGGAGGTTGTTCAGGGTGATGGCCCCCACAATGTAGAACATCTGCTTGACCACCTGCTTGATCAGCTCGGGGTCCATGCCGTGCTGACACATGACTGAGTGGAAGGAGTTGAGCTGCCGGAGGATGGAGTCCAGTGTGTAGGTGCCCTCATCGGCAATGCTGGAGGTCCGCTTTCTTAGCCCTGTGGGCTTCACCCCGGATACGCCCTGAATGGTTTCATGCTCCAGCATGCCGGAGACTGTAGGAGTAGTTTAAGTATTAAAAGAGAAGCCCTGGAAGGAATCCTGTTTCATATGTGCACATGCATGCACACACACACTCACACATTCAACTGAGGAAAATGATCTAAGCATCAAAATAAAGGGAAAATGAACATCACAAAAAAGGCTTCTGGATTTTCAACTGTAATGAAGGATTAATTCTTAAGTGCAAAACTTTACCATGAAATTAAGAACTCTTAATGGTATATTTTCTAAAATATGAAGCAGCAGCCATGTAACAGCGCAAGTGTATGGTTCCTTAGGAAGGTTTCTGAGAGATATGCAGCAGTTAGGGAGAAGATAAACATTCTCTGCACTATCCGAGCCCCAGAGACAGACAAATCAAGTAGCAAGAAAGGCAGGAGACGGGGCAGTGGTCTTGGAGAAGTTTTGGGAGGGGACAGTTGTGCAGGGCAGGAGAACGGTGCTTTTCCTTGCCCTGAGCTTTCCACAATGGCAGGGAGACCTGGAGTTAGCCTCTGCCTTCCAGGACTCAGTCTTCTCATCTGGAGCACTGCTGCCCCCTTGTGTTTCCTCTAGGATAGTTTTGGGATGCCCACTCCTGGACTGGGAGTCCCTCGAGAGCACGGGCCAAGCCTGATTCGTTTTTATATCTTTTAGCATTAAACACAGACTCCGGAGAACCTCATACTGAGTCAAACGTTTGTTGCTGTTAAATCACTGGGAGATAGGGGGTAGTGGGTTAAAGCGGGATATGTTGGAGGTAAACTTCTTGTTTAGCCAATAAAAACAGACAAAAGTAGAAAAAAGGTTGGCTAAAGCTGACCTTCTTTGCATCTGTCATCTCTTGTATTCTAGGTTGCTTTAAATTTATGACATTTTAGGGGACAACTGAAGAAATCACTGCTGTCTCACATGGTTTCCTCAGCTTTTTGTGTTTCTAGTTGTTTAATTGTGGGCTTATGATAGGAAATGGACTACTGTGAGCCCAGAGAAGAGAAATGAAGTTGTGGGATGTGGAAAACACATGAGTTGGTCAAGAAAGGGTAGCCTTCAGAGGCTGCTGATAATGTGCCTGAAGATAACAGAGTTTGGTAACTTAAAAATTGTTTTAATTCAATACACTCAAAATTAGCAGCCTGTAATTTATACATGCGTCCTAATTCCTATTTCACACATGCTACATATTCCAAAGGAATATAGGTAGTAACACATAAATATCCAGAATGATTGCATACATATAAAGATAGGTACATGAAACACATATTTAGCTGAATATATGTAAGTAGAAACACCCATACACCCCTCCCCCCCAAGTGGCTCATCCAATAAGAAACTGCTGCTTTAAACCAAATTACCTTTAACGATTCTAGAGGGGCCATGAGATGTAAAACTTAGCATAGGGTGTCTGGGACCTAATTTTGTTGCCATGGTACTCTCCTAACTCTTTTACTGCAGCCTATTAAGCAAACTGCAAACCCTCGCTAGCCTCCTTATTTTTAGATGGAGCAGTGTAGTAATGTCCTAGGCCAAAGTTTAAAGTGTTTTTGAAAACCAGACAAGGAATGAGATCTATTGCTGGGTATGAAGCATAACCAGTCTTAAGAGAGAAGTATTCCACATTGGGGAGGGAAACTAGATACTGCTGTTTTGATCATGTGGAAGCAGTGATTCTGATGTATCCTAGTTAGTCATGGCTAACATCCCATGTTCTGAGATTCCTCAGCTAATTTTAGGGCTGAGTCTTACTACTTTATGTTCTCTGTATGAATACATGCCCTGAAACATGTGCCACTGGTGGTCATCTACTACTGGTGGGCACGTGTAGTAGACAGACCTTGATGTCAGCATTCCCCTGGCCTTACCGATCATTGGCTGAAGGATGTTCTCTAACACTCGCACGAGTTGCTGGTAGATCTGAATGGCCAAGTCGCTCAGCACCTGCCGGTACTCAGCCAGGTCAAAATTGGTGAGGCAGTGTTCATTCTGGCGAGATGTGTTGTGTTTCATGAAGCCCTGCAGCCACAGTGCAGAGGTAATGATACACATGAAGTGAAATGTCTCCTATCTGTTTAACTGTCTCATTTGGTTAGCATCCTCCTACTTTTTTCCTCTCTTTGAAAAGTTTCCATCCATCCCAGGATAATCATTCTCAATGCTGTATGTGTTTGTTTTCATCTTAAAAATTGTACTTCTTACTAGCTTTTGAAGAATATCTAAACTTCGCAATCTAGCATTTAAGCCTTTCTAAGAGCAATGTCGATGAACCAGACAAGGGAACTTAATTTAAAAGAAACTAATGAATGTTTTCACTTATAAAACAGGTTTACTGCCAAACACTAAATTATCTAAAGTACTAACCTCTTAAACTTCAATTCATTAAATACAGTCCTATTTACAAATAGTACACCCAAAAGGCATACATAATCTTCTTAAAAACAGACCAATTTCTATAGAGACTGGTAGATAAATAAAAAATTTCCCTTTCATGGGATCTATACATGATTTTCAGTCTGAGCTCAGAATGGCATCTTTGGTGGTATTTGTTAAAATAGAAAGCCAACATCAAGGTACTTTTGTCAGACATTGCCTGACCAAAGCAACAGCCTACTTGATGGATTCTGCCCATAGTCAAGCATCTGCCTCCCTACAACATACTTAACAACATGGTATTAGAGAACAAGTGGGGAATGACAGGACAGTCAATGGCCCCTCTGGAGGGCTCTGGTCTGTCAGTCCCACTTTCTTAGGGACCATATCTTACTCATATTGTATTTCCTGTCATTTATCAGGACAGTCCTCTGCCCCTGGCCTCTGTCTGGGTGCTCAGAAAATGCTACTGCTCAACTTCCCTGCCTACTTTCCCAGCAACTCAAGGGCGGGTGGACACAGAATCCCAGTTCTGTTCCTTCCAGCTGAGAGGAGTTGGGCAAACTGATGAACGTCACTGAGCTTCAGTTTCCTCATCTGTAAAACTGAGTTATAATTCTTACTTTATAGAAATGTTGTAAGAATTAAATAATATACTGTACAGTAAGTGCTATCTGATATATACTAAGTAGCCATTAATAAATAGTAATTATTAATATATATTACAGTTTTGAAATATGAAGTCTGTCAAATAACTGATGAACACATCACTACAAACAAAAGCAAAACATTTCTGGACAAATCTAAAGAGACATAACATCACTTTCAATGTATTATAGTAAGCTGAAATTGATCAATTAAAAAAATAGCTCAATATTTCTATACTGGTCCTTGTAAAGCCCACTTCCACATATTGACAAAAAGTTTCATTGTTGCAACTATTCATTGACCAATGCTTATTTTATTTCTACTACATTTTTTCATAGTACACTCTCAGAGGGAAGAAACTATGTTATTTCCCAAAGTCACTGTTCTGTAAATAATGAACTTCAAAGCTACGAACTCTCCTGCTACCTCTGAATTCAGGTTTCTAACTTAACAAATGGTTAAACATTTTGTGCTTTAAAAAATTTCCTTAAAAACATCAGAGAAAGTATAACCTGCTGATTTTGTAATCAAGGTTTTCTCACCTCTTCTCCACTGTACTGCTTCAAACAGTGCAAAAATCGGCATGTGTTAGAGAGCCAGAAGGAGACAGTTTCAAAATCATCACCTCTTTTCTGAAAAAGAGAATTAAGTCTAAATTTGCTTTTTCCTTAGAGAAATAACAACCTGAAAATAACTGAACAGATACCAGAAGGCCCATTTTTTCAGTTACCAGTACAAACAATTATAAAAATAAATCACATTGCAGTTGTAAAGTCTTACATCATTGCTAGAGAATTTCTACCACTGGGTTCATTGGTTGGTTGTTACTTTGCTTGGCATTCATTTTTCTGCCATTAGAAAAGGATTCCCAGTTGTTCAGTTGATGTTCGCTTAACAGCCCCTTTAAGCAGGAAAAAATTCACCAAGCCACAGCTTACCAAAACTCACTTCCCTCGAGTGACTAAAGGGAATCAAAGGACTAAAAGCACAAAAAGGGAATCACAAAAACTGTGAAGTACTGAAACTCCGATTAGGTTAAACATCTTATCAACGATAAGATACAATTTCTGAGCAGCGAATTGGAATTGGGATGGACGAAGTCCTGTGCAGAGCAGTATAGACAGAGAAAGCTCCCTGGCTCTTCATCAGGGGCACATGTCAAAAAACCCATGGCTAAATCAAAACAGGGATGCAAGACAAATACACTTCAATTCAAAACAGGGATGTGAGACTCATGTACATCACTTTTAAATGGTATCAAAAGGGTGTTTACTTTCTAGTACCCACTCCTTTATAATCTTTAAACAATTTGGTACAATAATTAGTTAAATTAGATAGATGTCTTCTTGCCATTAAGATGAGACGGAGAAAACTTAACGATTTAGTTTCATGGTCTTTGTAAGAGCTGACTTAAGTATTAAAGCTTGTAGTCTATCTAAGCACAATATAGCATCAACTAGATGAGTTACATTCGGAAGACAGTCATTAATTTTTAAATGTTAAGTTCATGACTAGAGGCTGGGGGGTGGGTATGTTTAATGGGTACAGAATTTCATGGGGAATATGAAACAGTTCTGGGGAAAGATGGTGGTGATGGCTGCACAACAATATGAATGTACTTAATGCCACAGAACTGTGCCCTGAAAAATGGTTAAATAGCATAAATTATTTGTTACGTATATTTCACAACTTAAAGAAATAGTTCATGAAAAATACCTTGGATTTGAGAGAGTCCACTGGGCATGTTAACTATCTACTTATCTCCTTCTTAAAAGTTCTCCTTAAATTAGATAATCAGAAAACAAAGTACTTGGAGCACATTCTTAGCTCCTTACAGAAACACTTGCGTTAAAACTAAGAATAATATTCATTGTTTTTCTAGAGAGTCAGGAGGATTATGCAACATGACTCAGTGATTACTGAGTTATGTAGGACATCCTACACTTTTACATAATTTTGCTGCTTTTTCCAAGTCTTTCCTCTCTGATTAGCATCTGTGTCTTGCTTATCACATGGAATCAGGCATTTCAGGTAACAAGGAAAATTATGAGTGAGTTGCAGAAAAATGAGAAGAAAAGTTGGAAGAAAATCTTTAATGTTTTATCAAACATCTTTTTATATGAATGAACCAAGTATTATTGAACTTATTTAATACTGATTTAACTATAATATCTTATTCCCTATATATCTGCACTTCACTATATATTTTAAATTTAGTTCTAAATAAGACCTTAAAGAAGACTATTCCTGTCTATGAAGAAACAATTTACTCCACAATTAAATGCAATTATATCAAATTAATTTTGATTACTGAGCCCTGTTTTAAAAGAAGGCATGTAGACAATTTGCAAGAAAGAATGCTTTCTACAATGGAAGGTAGCAGTTAACACTGGAAAATGTTCATAATTGGTAACTTAGCTCAAGGTCAAGGGAGGAAAAGTACCTCTGTGCAGATTCCATCATAAATAATATTCATGATGAGAATTTTGTTGAACATGAACTGACCTTTAATACTTTTTTGATGCTGTTAATTGTTGATGTCAGCAACGACCTTACTTTCTGATCATCATTCAGGTAGTCAGCATGTCGGACACACATAAATAGTATATATGCCGGTAACCCTGGAATCAAATTGACTGCTACACCACGTGGCTTCAGTTCTGAAAAAAGAAAAGGAAAAGAATCTTACATAACATTGAAAATCCTCATGAGAAATGCTTTGAGAGATAATGAAAACACAGTTCTCACATAAGAGTTGAATCATTCAGGGTAAATAGGTCATATAAAAAAGCATATTTTAATGGCTCATTAAGAGTTCTTGAGGGTCAGGACATGTGAATCTTAGTTGTGTATACAGTGACGACTCCTAAATTTCTACCTTCTAGATAAGAAGACTTTTCCCTTGAACTCCAGTCTTGCATATTAACTGCCTCCTTGACATCTCTGCGCAGGCATGTCAGACTGAGCCCATCTAAATCAAACTCTTGATTCCCAGTGGTACCTGCTCTTCCAGGAATTGTCCCCATCTCAGAAAATGAGTTCCAGTCTTCTAGTTTCTCGGGTTATAAATCTTGTCATCTCTGACTCCTTTTTCTCACACTATACATTTAATCCATCAGCAAATTCTGTTGGCTCTACCTACAAAACACATCCAGAATCCAACTACTTTTCTACTTGCTGCCCTACTGTAGGTCCCCATCATCTTCTCCTAGACTGTAGTGACAACTTCCAAACTGGTCTCCCTCATTCGTCCCTTGCTCTCAAGTAGTACACTTGCACATAACAACCAGAGTAATTCTATAAGAAAATGTAGGTCAGACCATGTCACTCTTGTTCTGAAAATCTTCAAAGTAGCTTCTTACCTCATTCATTTACGCCACGGCCTGTGTGCTCTGACCCTGTTCCCCTTTCCCAGGTCACTGTGCTCCAGTAAAATGGGTCTCCTTGCTATTAGTTAAACATGCCAGACATGCTCCCACCCCAGAGCCTATGTACTATTTTCTGCCTGGAATGTTCTTTCCTCAGATATCAGCATGACTTGCTTCCTTACTTCCTTGGTGTCTGTCCAAAATCACCTCATCAAAAAGGCCTTTCCTAATTACTTTATATGAACTAGTACACTTGCCTTTACTCTTTATCCTTTTTACCCCTATACATAAACATATATATAAACATATATATGTATATATATGTTTCCCCTCCCATTGGAATGTAAGTTCTATGGGAAAAGAGACTTGACTTCGTCACCCAGTACCTAGAAAATGCTTGGTACATGGGAGAAGAGCACTAAATCCTCATCGAACCGATGAACCTTTGCTTAAAATTTGCTTAAAAACCAGTGGTACCTTAACATTTTTGCTAAATAAAGATCACGTTGAAACTTAACTGCCTTTGTACCTATATATAGTTTAATACCAAGAACCCTAGGAACATTAAATCAGGTATAACTGCCAATCACATTGCTGTCACCCTGGCACCTGGGGGAGGAATGCTATGCAAAGGCTGAAAGGAGGGGTTTTCAGCTTTCTAAGTTCACAACTTTCAGGCTGTGTACATTCCCTAACATTTCCAACCCTCCCCTAAAAAGTCTTCTTGCAGAGCCAGTGGACTCATACTCAATCTTAAAGGCCTTAAGCTGCTCTGAAATGCTTCTTCCATGCCCATTTCATTTGTCTGGTCCTCTCCTGCCATTGCTAGAATCATTTCCTTAATTTTTTTGCTTTTTCCCTATTACTTAACTGTTGTTCTTGACATATTTAGTTAAATGCTTTCTAGGGAAGTTAGGAAAATAGAAATTCAGGAAATTAAATGGCCCAGAGCAGTGGTGGTCAACTGTGGCTACAATTCAGAATCCCCTGAAAGATGTAAACAAATTATAAACATGGCCGGGCTCTTCCCTCTAGAGATTTTGATGTAATTGGTCTGCATTGGGGACCAATTACACACCAATACTTTTCAAAAGCCTCTGAGGTTATTCTAATGTGCAGCTAGAGCTGAGAAGGCCTGGCCTCAAGGGATCCTTATAGGTGGGTCCTGGGCAAGTTAAGACTGGTAACAGATGATGTGGTCAGGATGCTTCTGTAGCACTATAATGCACAGCATGCAATGATGACTAAAGAAACTAGTACTGAATACTTCAAAAATGAGTGACTAGTCTTTCCTACCACTGACACATGTACCAGAAAGACCTTTTATCCCATGTGGAAAACACTTGCCAAGAATCAGGTTCTTAACAAGTTTCTGCTCATCCTCCTTCTTGTATTCCAGCATTCCTTGGAAATCCTTTTCTTTCCTGGGAATGTTGACTGGACGAATGGGTTCATCAATGATCTGTCCTGGGGATATGTTTTCCATCTGGCCCACTTTGGGAGAAACAAAAAGGAGAAGAACATGTTTTCCAGGTAGAAAAGACGAGAAGGTTCTATGTTCCTATAACTTTAAATAAACTCTATAACAACAGAAACATGCCATATTTGCCACTTCACTGCTGTGCCATATTTGTGTCTTCTTTAAATATTGTTTTCTGCTAACACTGGATAGATGGCAAAATTATATTGTAAAGTTACTCTGACAGCTATAAGTGCTTGGTTACTATCAACATCAGAGAACCCTATTTGATTCAAAAGCATTTTTAAAATAATAATCTGTAATAAGATTAAATGCTTCCAAAGTTAAGTGGTTTAACTTTTTGGTTAACAAATTGTTACCAATCATAAATGGTTAACAATATTTAGACTTTAAATCACAGAAGGGAAAAACAGTATTCTACAAAGAGGCAGCAAGAGTGTAGAAGACCCTTCCTCCCCCGCTTTAGCTCAATGAATCTAGTCATAAAGAAAAACATTCTAATGGGACCCTGCTGTCATAGAATTTACATTTACAGTATGTATTATATGTGTGTAGAGAAAACAAATGTCAAAGAAACAAAATAAATAACAAGGAAAAGAACATTTACTTTAAATATACCATTGCAATCAGTTCAAACCACAGCAAGATAGCTGGTAGGAAAGTGTTTCTTCACACTAGTTGATGTGAAATGTATTATTTTTCACAGAGGCTTCCTAAGGCAAAAATCTAACTTTTTCCAGCCACCCCTTATTCCCAAAGAAACCATGAGCAGATAAAACAACCTGTATTTAATGTGGTTTCCTAAATATTATTCAGTGTTTTTGTTTGTTTTTGCTCAAGTACTAAAAGTTCTACTATGAGGTTGCAACCATTAAAGTACAAACCACTGGTTAACAACGCTTTCAGATGTTAAAAATGGTCACTACTGTCAACAGCAGCTGCTGGAGAATTATGCTAAAGATTTAAAATTTTTCCAATTTCATCTAAAAATTGAGAATTGAATGGGAAATCTAAGAGAAGGTAAGAGAACACTCGAGTTAGAGTTACGGTGGTGTTTGTGGAGACATATGCTAGAAATCAAGTTTTTAAAAAATTCTTTTATCTACAGGAAGCGGGGGCAGTTAAGAAATCTATTTAGATGTTGACTAAGTTTGAGTTCAGAGACTGCTGTCAAACAGAAAGCAGATCAGATGCATTAGAAAGTTTAATGTTGCTGACTCCACAAGGTGTCAGTAGTACTTCTTCTCTTGTCACTGTGGGGTAATTCCTGCATTAGTTCTGGGAAGCCAGTTCCATAGGAAGAGGTTATCACAGAGAACACCAATACCTGCCCGTGCTCTTGCTCATGTGGCAGAGAGCCAGGTGACACTACCTCATGCTGCAACATCACATACCAGGACTATCAGTGCTGGAAATCACCACTACCCTTCAACAGTATGCTATCTAAAGAGTGATCATATTGTGAATGGATAAATCGAAGCTGTGGCATCTAGTGTTTCACATACATGATGCAGTCTGGAAGCCACAGGACTAACTGTAAAATGTATACCTCTATACAAGAGATTCAAACTATTGACTTTTACATAAATTATTTCTGGAGTCAGTTTAAACATAATACCACCAGGATCTTGAAATCAGCACATAGTGGTCTTCACAGCTTATGTACATGACACGCTGCATGTAAAATGCAAAATAAGAAAATCCCTATCATCAAAGTTACTACTCCCTTTTAACCACAGAAACAATTCTAAGAGGGGAAACTGGAAACAAATAATTCCACATATTGATTTTATCGATAAATGTACATATTTAGACTCTATATAATATGAAGAGAATGCTTTAAACCTGATTTCATCATATCTAAGGTGAGATATCATTATTTTATATAACACTAAGGAAGGAAGAACACTGCCAATTAAACTATAACCCAGGAACAGTTGTAAGACATATACTAATTCTAGAGATGTTAAAATGTTTAAAATTATACACTTCAGAATTTATGAAATATGGTGAATATTTTTACTAAGAGATTTCAAGTTTTAAAAGAAAGTTTCACTTTCCTTTTTGCAAAATCTGTAGCCAAGATATTTTTGGTTCTGTATAAAAATGTCAGAGATAAAATTTGCCATACTTTAATTAAAAACTTTCTTTCTGCCTTTGAATTCTCTCCAGAGATTTGAGTCTTTATAAAAACTCGGATAAAATATATATGTCAGCTCAACATAACCTTGATTTATTTAGCAAATTGCCAATTAATTAAAATAAAATGTCAATCATTATATAGCATTAGGAAAATATAAAGCCTGAAAGACAGAAGCCAGGATACCAGCCCAGTTTTCAAAGACAGCAAGAGATCTTGGAGGCCAGTTAGCCCAATGCTCCATCTAATCCTTCTAGAAAGATCTGAAGCAATCCCTATTTCTATCTTCTAGATTCTTTATATGAGGGAAAAATATTTCTGAACCTTTTCATCCTGGAAAGGGAAAGGAAACTGGAAATTTTAAAATTTATTTTTCTTCATTTTGGTATTAGGAAGATCTTGATCTGAGGTTTAATTGAGATAGTCAAGTAGACTCTCCTATAAGTAGAGAGTCGACTGGAAAATATAACACAAAGGAAAGAATTCAGTGGTCCTCAGAAGGCCTGAGTTTTAGTCCTTCTTTGGTTACTAATTGGCTGAGACCTTGGAAGTCATAGTTTCTGGGCCTCAGTTTTTTTCTCCTATTAAATAGTTAACTGATTTCTAGAATTTTTTTAGGTCTAAATTCCGTGGCTTCATGAAAACTGAGATAGAACACCCACTCCTAGGTTAAAATACAGCACAAGGCAGATCAAATTTTAAAACACTCTCCATTTAGCTATATAATTTCTGCTAAAAATTACATATGTTGGCGTTTTAAAGTTTTCATTGGCTTCTAAAAACGTCTCCTTAATTAAGTGTAGCCCATAGTAGGAGGCAAGAGTCTTTCTATTTTAATACAGAAGAATTTAAATTTATTATAATATATTTAAAATATAAAAAAAAACTTTTAGGTATAAGAAGATGTTTTGTTGTACACGGTTGCTAGTATTTTCTGTACAATGCGGGATTAAGGTGGCAGGAAGAGAAAAGTGTTGGAAGAGCCTGTCACCTTTATTCTCCAAATTCGAAAAGGGGCAGGGATACTGTACTCAGCAAATGCCCAGACCATAATAAATGGATTTCATTTTATTCTTTAGACACATATCATTTAACTCAACTTTTCTTAAAAATAGTATGTCTTTTTTGTTTAATCTATGAATTGACTTTCAAATGCTACTTAGAGGTTTAAGAACATAGCTGGCAGGATAGTTTAACAGATGAGGTTGGTTTCTGATTGAAAACAGCTTAAAATTGCTAGCATCTTGAAATATTCTAACCTATCTCTTCAATTAAAAATATACACATCAAAGAAAGCTGAATAAAAACGTAAAATAACAAGTGGAATCATTAGGGATTTAAAAGAATAATCTCACAAATTAATACCATTGAAATCAGTTTCTTTCAAGCAAATACCCTGCTATCTAATCATCATCTCAGGATATAATTAGTGCAAAGCTAACTACAAAAAAGTTCTCTGGATAAAGTTTTTTAAAGTTCTGCCAATAGACATTAAAGCTCGTGTGTGTGATTTGGAAGTTCAAAACTTTAACATATGAATCATGAAATTCTAAAGGATTATATATAAAATATGACAGCAAAGTAATCTGATTTCTATATAAATATTTCAGCATTTGTATATCTAAGGGAATGTTGTCCTCTTCAACGTAAACATCTATGCTGCTATTCTAAATATTTCTGAAACTTATTCACTCAACAAACATGTATGGAATGATTAACGTCAATCAGACACTATGGTAGGTACTATGAAAACAAGGGGAAATAAGAGGTGGTACCCATGCTCAGGAAGCTCATAGCCCATACAGGGAGCCAATAATTCAAACAGAAAAATTCTTAAAAATATGACAGTGAAAACCATAACAGATGTGAGTCAAATTATGGTAATATAGAGAGTGGAGCCAAAGCTCTGTCTGTGTGATTGGGAAAGGATGCTCTTGAGGATGTGACATATGACTCTGATCTCAAAGGATGAGTAGGACTTTACCAAGACAAGCAAGAGACCAAATAGAAGGAACAGTTACAACAAGCCTGGGATGTTACAGAATGAAAACCACACAGAGTGAGTCATGGTAGACTCTTGTGGACATTGCCAATGATGAGGAGCCTTTACCCTTTGAGCCAGGCAAAAATTATGAAGGTGACGTTGAGAGAGTGGCTGGGTAATCAGACTGCTCAGAATAATTTTTGTTCAAAATTATAATAGTTTGCATAGATTTGAAGCCAATTCCAAAAAAGGTCTCTAAATCTCTTGAACAATAAGAGTGTTACTGGAATATGCTTAGAATTTAGCTTTAGCCCTGCTCATTGCTGTATCCCTGGCACCTAGATAAATACTTACTGAAGGAACAAACACACTAACCCACAGGACAAGATTCATTTGTATATAACAACAACAATTGATATTTGATTATTTCTAAGGTGTTTTACCATCACCATCACATATAAATCATGAGATGTTTTTTAAAAAATCTGATTTCTTTATAATCATAATTCATTTTTTCTTATTTACTTCTCTTTTTATCTCCATTAGATGGTAAGTTCTTTGAGGATAAAGACTTTGTCTTACTCATCTCGGTATCCCTAATACTAAGAGTTAATCACACTAAGTTGTACATAGCATTTATTATGTTTTAGGAATGATACTAAAGGCATTACACATATTAACTCATTTAATCTTTATAATCGGCATCAGGTATGCCATTACTGTTCCCCTTAAACAGGTGGGAAAACTGTGGCAGAGAGGTTCAGTAACTTGCCCAGTATTAGATAATTAATAGAAGAAGGCCAAGATTTGAACCCAAGAAGCTTGGTTCCAGAATCCATGCTCAACCTCTCTGCTATATGGCTTAGCACAGTGGCTGACATACAGAAGATACTCACTGACGTTTACTGAATGAATTCTCGTACTTTGTAAATTATTACTGCAATGAAAAGAACATTTTCGCCCACCTAGCGATGGAGAGTTCCATCAGGCACTAGGTTTGTTGAAAGTCATTTTTGTTATTGTTTCTGATATTCGAATGCAAATCTATTAGGCCACTAGTGTAGCAATAAAAAACCAAGAACAGCAACTATCATAAAACATGTTTAAATACCTTCTAGTTCACCAATTTTTTTGGCAAAGACTTTCAGTTGTTTTTTCAGTTTCCGGACAGTCTTATCTTGTTTTTCAAGTTGTTCCATCAAATCCTAAAGATTAAAATGTGAAATATAACAGAAAGATCAAAACAGGCCTTCTAAAATGCACAGAAGGAAAACAGACACAAAACCACAGAAACAGCACTGTTAGTTTTACACAAAAGCTCGGAGGCGGAGCCACAACCTGGCTAAAACTGGCAGGCGTGGGAAATGCAGCTACAATAAAAGCCAAATGTTAAAATATACAATGCAGTAAAATCCTTTACAGCGTGATGGAGAGCAGGCTCACTGGGGAGTCTTTTCCAGTAGACTCCATGTGGGTAAAACAATTAAATGCTTGTAAAATGTACGGCTATTCCAGTAGAATCTTTTCTTGTAAAGGGGGAATAGGCAAAATAAATTTTGATGAATGCACAAAGAGTTTTGTGGGAAGTTTTAAGGATGGTTGAACTTAGGTACGGGGTTTTGACTTTTTACTTCCATCACACTGCAAGCCTACTGTTAATAACAAATCAAACATGACAATGGACGCAGGACACTGATAGAGGTGACACCACTGGCTAAAAGATAGCTGTGGAGAGAAACGGGTTTCATGAAAGTTTTTGAAGAGACTTCCTGGGGAGGGGCAGAGCAGTGTGCTCTTCAGTTAGAGATGGCTAGAAGTAGCAAGGAAGACAACAGAAAGGCACTCTTGAGTTTACATACAATCATCCGTTTGTAAAGTGAAATCCGATATGATTGATACTTCTTAGGGTCATCTGCATAAAATTCCTCAAAATACTGAAAAAACAGGCACAATGGATATTTGTTTTTCTCTGTGTCTTTGAGGGGAATGCTACTTCTCAGCAAAATCAATTTTAAAATATTTTAAGATACAAATAATGAACCTGTATATACTCAAAAGGCTCTGACTTGTCATCTGCCATTTACCTGTGATCTTTCTAGTATAGATTCCAGTTATCTATATATATACACACACATCTATTTTCACATGCTCAGAGGAAACAGGCTATGGCCAGGACACCATCATTTAGCAAGTAAATAGAGAGGTGGTCCACATTCCCCACATAAAGCTGTTATTTCACTCTTCAGACCTGCTCATATTGCTGTATTTTTTTTTTCTGCCAGCAGCAGCAGCAAGAGTGAGAAAGGCAAATAAAATTAAACTGAGAATAGTGGTAATTTTGGCACTCTTGCTTGAAGGTGGAAAGGCAACACAGGGGGAGGCCTGTGAAGTATGTTCACAAGATGAGGAAGAAAAACCATCTCTGTGCTTGTGTAGGGTAGGTAAGTGGGTGGGTGGGTTAGGCATGGTAGTTTCCAGAACTAAGCCTAGGTCCACAGCTGCTTTAGTATTCTGCTCAAATTTTTGCTAAAGAAATGCACAATTAAGATTGAGAAATTATAATGATTTTGGAAAAGTGTATGATTCCCTGTACTTAAGTTTGAATCCATTCTCCTGAATTAGCAGTGAGGCCAGAAAAACAGCTGACCTACAAAAGGTTTTCCTAAAACTCAGACAAACTCATTAATTAGATTCTACCAGCTTAGAACTAGGGGACTTAGTTTATTTTTGTATTAGCTATGTAAAATTACCAATAAAATTAAAACCGTAGACAAAGTTGTAAGGGAAATGCTTAATCAATTTAGTGAAAAAACTCCGGGAATCTGCCACCCAGAAGCATCTTTATTTCACGGTTTCACCTCGTATTTTAAGACAATGATTTATAAGCACAGAATTTATATGCTGATCAACCATTATTATATTATTTAGTATACTTATCAATTAAACATTAAATGCATTAAAGCATTGTTAGTTTGATTTAAGCAACAGTGTACTTGAGAGTGATAAAATAACATTTCAAAAATCGTCCATAATTCGGAAGATTTCCCCCCCACAAATTAGTGGTATTTCAGTTACTTTGGAAAGAGTCCAAACATTGCCCTTAGCCACCTCTCCTATTACTACGACTGAGCCTCTAGCAACACGCTGTTCTCCTGTCATCAGAGGGACAGACATGCTTCTAATTAATATAAAAGATGGTTGAATAGGTGATACTAGAAAAGTATTTGTAATGTAAATGATCACGAATGGAGCAATGGAGGGATAATTCAGATAGTTAAATCTTTAGAGAAAATCCAAACTATTTTTTTTATAGGTCATTAAAACCCTGAACTCCAAAAGAAAACCAGTCCTAAACAGCTTTTCTCAAAAACTAGGCTGACACTACAATATAGACTACATAGAACTGTGGAATTACAACTTTACAATGACTTTTAAAATTATTTTAAATTGTAATTGACATATAGTATTATATTAGTTTCAGGTACACGACAGTGTTTCAACGTATACCTTACGACTTTTCAATAGCTTTTAGTTTAATAAACATATCAAAAAAAAGTCTATAAATCTGTAATAAGTTATTTTGTGACTGAGAAAGAAATATTTTAGAAAATATTTTCTGTGAAAGAAAAACAAAAAGAAAAAACTTGAGGCTGTGTGTCAGTGTTCAGAATCTGGCAAGGGAAAATACTCTCCTCATTCATTGCACACTTTCTGTTAAAAAGAATAAATAATGTATAAACTTGAATCCTGCTGTCCCTCCTCCCATCCAATGTCCACCAAAAGCCCCCACTTGGTTCTGCCAACTGCGTTCCCTGACCGTAACTCTAAGCCCAGATCATCTGCTACAACGGAGGCTCAGATGGTGTGGGTAGCTGACTGAGGACCAAAAGTGACAAAGCTCGGCCCTAGTCTCTGTCATGGCAACCACAAAACAAACCTCCAACGGCAGAGATTTCAGTGAAAGTAGAGGAAGTGGCCACCTGAGTTCTCAAGGATATCAAAAGTCCGGCATACAGGTGACACCTTCCAGACCCTCCCAGGTAGGTCTGAGAGAGCCTTCTGTGAGAAACACAACCTGGGTACATGCTTTTTTTCATTTTTACCAACATGGTCGTATTTTCTTCACACTGTCTCTGCTAGAGTAAGAGGGTGACAAGTGTGGGGCAGTAAGTTTTCCCAGCCAGGAAAGATGTGTTTGATTAACAATCAGCAGGACTGCCTGCAGGGCCAGGCCCTGCCTACTGAAGAGTGTGTGGGCCCAGGCATGGCTTCTCACCAAGTTTTCATTGGTCAGCCGGGTGATCTCGTGCTGCAGGCTGGCCTCGATGCGGGCCTCAGGGGGCAGCTGCAGGTTCTGGGCCAGCAACTGCTGCTGCCGGTTGTTCTCCTCCTTCAGGCTCTGGATCTCGCCGCGGAGGGCTTCAGCCTCATTCTCATGGTTCCTTTTCTGGGACTGGAGCTGGGATTCCAGGAGCCTGTGGAGAAGCCACACAGGTAGGACAGGGAGATGACACAAGAGTCCCTGCCCGGTGGGTGCGAAGCTTCGTGCTCACTTGCAAGGGCAGGAAAAGCAGGGACTCTAGCATCTGTGTAACTTCTGACTTGATTAAAGTCGAGAAACTCAAACAAGGGCTGGAAATGGAAACAAATGCTCTCACATTTGTGTCCTTCTGAATTGTGGACCCCAGTTACAAATAAAAAGTTTTCTAAGGCCCTGAGAAACAGGAGAATTTTGAATTTTGGCTCTTTTTTGAAAGGTTCGTAGGAATGATGACTAAAATAACCAGAAGACGTAGCTTTAATCTGGCTAACTACATTTATGAACCAGCATTTAGGCTGGCAAAGACAGTAGTACCTATGCCACAAAATCACTGCACTGTATAGAAGGGCAAGATGACGAACTCCTAATCTAATTCAATATGCCTTTAAGAATTTCAGTGTTACTAATTTCAGGCAGAGGGTGCAACCAGGATCCCATTTCCACTTTCTACTTTTATCTCTGAAAGACAGAAAGGCTGAAGTGCTTCTCTGAAATATATACCGATTTACCCAAATCCAGACAGGTACTTCTGCAATTTCATATACATATATTTTAAATTTGTCATCTTCTCTTTCCCCATAAACTTCCATATCAGTAACATAATCCTAACAAGACATGATTTTAGAACATAAATATTAATAGAACCAATAAAGTGGTTACTGCTTCTCTGAGCAAAACATACAAGTCACCTGTGCCCATGTAAATAAACCAGGGCACTGGCAGTGAGCGTACCAGAGAGAAATAGCATCCTCTCTTCAGCATGCACTCTGCACTCCCACTTCTACATTCATCCCTTTCTAAATACAAAACAAAGTTACAGTTAGGAATTAACTAACATGAAGAAAGAAAAGATGTTCGTTTATATTCTAATCCCCCTGGTTACCAACTGCTGGGCAAAACTTACTGACACCATTGCAAGCATACTTTAACAGCAGACTAAAATATTTTAGTGATTATGAAATTTCAAAAGGATTTCAACCAATAACACCACAAAGTTAATGACAGTTTATGATTAGAACAAAGTAGAATAAGTAGAAGCCCCTTGAACAAATAGCATATTATTTTTAAAATGTAATCATTAAAATGGTCTTTTTACAAGATTTTTTTTAAGAGTCAAAAGGAAAGTTTATTAGAAAAAGGGTAACACTCTACATACAGAGTATAGTCTCCTCTCAGAGGCAGAGAGTGAGAGAGATCAAGATTTTTAAGACATAAATATCACTAGAGCAGATTAGTGTCTGTGTTAGAAAAGTGTAGCTGTTTCAATTTTACTTGTTTTCTCTTAAACATATTTAATACGTTGCGTTTGGGTAATTATTTTGAACTGTAGCAATGTAGGAAACCTTTCTGATTTGATGTTTCACAAATATAAACTTCACAATAACCACATAGAATGCCAAATCATGTACTTAATACTGCTGTTAGGCAGCATGATAATGACATATAAGATGTAGCTACATTGCCACAGGCACACATAGCCTTTAATCATTATTCCAAACACGAAACCACTAAACAATAGGTATTAATCTCTCCCACAGTAGTTTGAGCTCTAGTTGAAAGGTTTTGGTTCTCTTCCAACTCCGAGTGAAATATTCACAAATCTTAGTGTCTGAAGGGAACTCTAGATAGCGCCTTTTACTCATGAGCCGCAACAATTATATTCACCATCAATCCATTTTTACTTTAGGATCATTCCTTAGTGGAGAAAGTTTTTAGGAAGGCATTTGGCTGAATGTTCTAAGTTGTACTGAAATTAACCCAGGAAGACAATTAATGTACAATAAATATAGAAGTTAAGTTAAAGTCAGGAGGCCACTGTTAGTAAGGAAAACAACAAATTAATAACATTCCATTTTGAGGAGACAAATATAACCTGTTGGCTTGTTTTAACCCTTCGTAAACCAGCCACAGCTCTCCATCCTCATTCAACTCATGGTAATCCATAGCAGATGATCTTCCATGCAAAAGGAACAACAATGCAAAACACAAAAGGATACAGGATGGGAATGAGATGACAGTCAAGAGCAGCACATGCTATTTCAATATTTTATTAAGATAATATATTGTTTTTGTTAATTACAGATGAGTTTAAGATGTTATCACAAAACATTATTTTTGGTTAAGTTTTTAAAAAATGTGTAACATGTAACATGAGTAGACATTAAAATAAAATAATCAAGGATCTATAGCTACATTTCCTGCAAAATAAGAAATGACTCAAAATGTGAGAGAGGTTCTGATCTTTAAATTTTATTCAGCTAGTAGTGATCTTATATGTCATACATTATATTAGAGATGAACCACACAGTCACACACATATAGAATGAAAATTTCAGCTATTGTCTTCATGTGGCAATTTTCACAATCCATTTCAAAATGAAGTTTTAAATCCTCTGAACCCGAATTTGTTTTATCTTAATAAAATCTGATTTCTTAGTTTTAAAACTGTTTTTAAAAATTCTTATAGCTTAACTTATAAATAAGAACATATCCAAAGTTCTCAGCTTTTATGACACAACTTTTAAAAGATTTTTTTGTGTGACTAAAATTAATTGCAAGACTTAGGGAAACTACTTAATATTAAAGATGTGACACATTTTATTGAAAGTATGTATAATAAATAAATAATAATGACAAACTTGATTATAGGTTTTTTTCTACCTAGGATATAAAAATACTTTTTGAGTGTTTGCTAAGTGTCAGACACTGTTCTACATCCTTCCGCATGTATTATTTCAATTTAGTTCTTCCAGTAACCCAACATATATCATTTGCCACATTGCAGAAGAAGATATGGAAGCTTAGAATTAAGATACCTATGGAGGTTACACAGCTGGCAAGTAGTAGAGCCCAGGGCTATCCAACTTTAGAGCCCAGGTTCTTCCTCTTCCTCCTAGACTTCTGTTGTTATGATGTTTACATAGAACAAATTCCAGAGCATGTTCTTCTATTTTCCACCTACCATTTCTCCCTGGGGAGTTGATCTATTTGCATGGTCTCCATTGTATTATTATATACTGATGACTTCAACATTTATATTTCAGTCCACACATCTCTCCTGCTCCAGATCTGTATTTTTAACTGCCTAAGGGATTTCTCTCCTTAGATGTCTTCTTAGCTCCTTAAATTCATTACCTATAAATCTACTGTTCATCTTCACCCCGCACTTCCACCCCAGACCCAGGATCACAAATGGCATCATCACACCCAACCAAGTATACACAGCAGATACTTCAGAATCACCCTTCATAATTCCCTATTCCTCACCTATGGGATCCAATAAATCACAAGGCTTACTGACCTCACCTTATGCATCCTTCAAAATGTCCCATTTCTCTCAATCCCACTGCCACCAGCCAAGACAAAGTCACCAAAAGTCACTTGATTAAGGTAATAGCCTCTTAACTGGTCTTTATGATTTCAATCTGGTTCCACTACAATCTATTCTCTAACATAAAAGCCAGGGTTAGCTTTCTAAAACCCAAATCTCATTATACCATTCTCCTGCTTAAAACCTTTCAACAGCTTCCATTGTCACTAGAGTGAAGTCCAAATTCTCTTGGCTATCTCCCCAACAGCCTATAAACCCCTGTGAAAGTAAGGACCACATTTAGTTTGCTGACTGCTAATATTCCCAGCATGTGGTACAGGGCCTGGCATGAAGTAGCCATGCAATACAAATCTGGTGATAGAATAGCTGAGCGGATGGATGAACAGTGTAATCTAGCTCTTTTTATACTTATACATTCTTAGATATAAGATGTGTGTTATTTATAGTTTATATTCATAAATTAAAATTCAAGTTTAACCAACTACTTTTAAAAACGCTCTCCACTCTTGTCCATAAAAAAAGATAATGAGTACTTTACATTTTGCATGGCAATATTCTTTAGTTTGTGAAGTATTTCTACAAACCAACCCTGATACTATGCATCAAGAGACTTAGACTGTACACTGATAATAAAAATCTCCAGAATTGTCTTTCTGTGACCATCACTGGCCATGTTCTTTTAAGAATGTAGCCTTTTAAGTTCAAAGTTCAATAGCAGTAAGGCTTTTTTGAGAGGGGAGTGATAGGAAGGCCGAGGAAATTCCAGAAATGAGCCTTTATTCTGTGATAATCTCAGCTATAGATAATCTCATTCAGTGACTGCAAATTTTGCACTCTCAGTTAGCTCACCTAAGGTTCTTAAGTGTATAGTGACTGAACTAAGTGCCATTGGCAACTTCATTTATATTTAGAGTAAATGGGATAAAACCAGAGCTAGGATTTTCTCAGAACACCTTTGGGAACCTGACAAAAACCTGATCTTGAATATCAGGGTTCCATCCTAAAGTCATGGTGTCCTTTCAGAATTATATGACCAACAGCGATGTGATTCCAGATACTTCGTCATTTCTCTTTAAGTTTCAATTATTAAGAGCTGTAGTTGCTCCTATGAACCCTCACAGATAACCAGCCTGAATAACAAATGAAAGCGATTACCTCTCAAGGCTAAGACCTTAAATATGCAGACATATATTCCCTTGATGCAAAGAATATTTTCCTGACAAGCCTTATCAATAATGCTACCTTATATTATAAATGAGACTTTGCCTGAGAATATATTGAAAAATCTAGATTCCCTTTGAAGGTCAGGTGATGTCTACTAAAGCAATGGAAAAACACTTTGATTTATAGTATAAGAGCCCTGAAGACTAAGGATCAATATGACTAAACCAAGAAGAACAACAAAAAAGATCAACTTACCTGTTTGTTTCCTTCAAACCAATGTATGCTTGTGCTATTTCGCCTTTATCTTTCATTTTTTGTACATCTTCTAAAAGTATTGTGGAATCTGTCATTGTATTCTAAAGGAGGAAATGACACATTTCCACAATTAAGAGTCAACTCAAAAGCTTTGGACCACATACAACATATCTCTTTCCTCCAGAATAGGTGTTTATGTGCTCCACCAGAACTCTGCCCTCCAGAGCATCAGCTCCAGCCCTGCAGCACTACAGAGGAGACTGGGGCACAGTTAAAAGAAAGAGGGACCTTCAGTCCTTTTGAGAATTCTTAACGCTCTACTACAAACATAGCAAGATTCTGGAGTAAATACAGCCCTGTAAATAAAATAACTGATGGGCTATATGTGTTTTACATTATGGGTATATTTGGGGGGAGGGGAGGAATCTATATCTTTATCTAGATCTAGATTAGATACAGATATATTTTATTATATAGTTATTTGGTGTTCTTGTTTGGTTATTGTTTGAATACTGTATATACTATATACTTTTTATATATGCATATATTTATATATTACACATATACACATATATAAAATGGGTTTCATGTATTTGAAATATATATAGTATAAATATATATATTTCAAAGTATATATACAGCATTGGAACAATAACCAGGCAAAAACACCGAGTAACTATTTAGTGAAGTGGACAAAGCTGTTCTTTCTACTACTTTCCGATCAGTTATAATAAAACAAATGCCCCAATAAAACACTAAACATTTGACATAAACTTCATTTTTCTATTAAAAATTCAGTACAAAAAAGGTGAGATTTAGATGATATGCTTCAGCAAAATTAAATTTTTTTCTCACATCTTTAGATATATATAATTGGAAAGTATTTTTAGCTCCTTATAAGGAGCATCTGCAATTATTCAATTCTTTTTTCTCTGTTACAATATAACATGGTACATAATCTTTTGAAATTAATATCTGGCAGGTCAGAATTTCTAATGATTTTGTATAAAAAGGACTTTTCTGCTAACATTTTTACTTTTTTTTCTTTTTTGTCTAATCTGTTGGGCAACCAATGTTAATTTCAAAATCATCCAGTCAGCTATTCTCTCTCTCTCCTAAACCATGTCAAGAATAGACAGGAAGAATCACAGCTCTATAGTCTCTAAAGATGAATACATTTTAGGACTCAAGGGTCCATTCTGTTTGTCCAAGTAGTATATGTCTGATTCTTTAGTCAATGTTTGCTCTACAGCCAGGACCCACAATGAGATAGTATTAATGGAATATACTTCGAATACCATGACTGTAGAGACTAGTTTCAAGATAACTTTAATGACGATAGAGGCCTACAAATACTTGCTATTGAATTTCTGTTTATAAGAAACATTCTTTAAAAAAATTTCCACTTTTCGCCTAATGCTGTCCTTTTGTGAGTTTATAAATGCATCCTTAGAGAAGACCAAATATAATCTGATAAAAGCTATTAACAAAAGCTTATGTTTTATTGAACTTTAACATCTTTTCCATAAACACCATGTAAAGAAGTATTTCTTCAGCTATGTTTTATAAAAATTTTAGTAGACATTTCAGAGCAAATTTCTTTTTTTCTCTTTTCCCGAAAGGCAGAAACTCTTTCTATTCTGCAGAGGGCTATACTCAGATTTTTAAGATTTAACTAATAATTCTCAAAGACCCAGGTTTCATAGTGCTACATGTATTCTCTGATATCTGAAGACCTACAAAATGTGGTTTTGAACTTTTAGTGAATTAGGTAATGATCTAATTAACTAATTCAAAGGAAAGATAGGCTTCTTAGTATGTTCTATCCTGGCAGTACCCTCAACCGGCCCATCTTAGCTAGAAAGTGGTGGCTGGAAGTGGTGGATCAGACTGAGACTGCCAGTGTCAGGAAGTCCCTGACACACCGCTCAGTTTGTGTCTCCCAAGCCAGCGACCAAAAGTTCTGAAAAGGCTACACCATGTAGGAAAATCCCACCCTTCCTAGGAAGGGTGTGCTCAATAACTCAGGCTCCTCTTTACAGGCAAACCTACAGCTGACAGAAATGAGAGCATGGGCGAGCCGGTGCTTCTGAGTGCACTCCAATTAAGGGTTTCCGTCCTGCACCTGTGGACGGCCTACCATAACCACTATAGTGAGTCACAGAGCTGACTGCGAATTAGAAGTCATGGAGGCACTCTCTGTGAGCCAGACTGGAGCCAATTTCATCCATATTTTTCCACTGACTTCCCAAATAAGAAATTAATCTGTAAATATAAAAATAGACTTGGTAGACAGAAAGCATCAACTGTATGTATTTAGGGATAACTGTAAACTAAAATTAGGATTAAAAAGAAGTATTTATGAAAAATTTTATAATTACCTTGTCATCCTGAAAATCACAAGTCAGCAAGCACCAAAAAAAAATGGAGAAAACAATAAACCCTTAGTTCCATAAATAAATTCCATCACTGAGTCCCCATCATAACAAATAAAAGCTAACTGTAAATACAAGCATGAATTATTTCTCCTAAAACTAACTCGATAAATAAATTAATATTCATGGAACTGACATGAGGTGGATATTAATATATATTTATGCGATGGCAACTTCTCATTCTCAGGAACAAGTGCTTGAAATTATTTTTGAGTTTTTTTCTTTCTAATTGTAAAGTATTTTTGAGTGCATGAGAAAATGAACCTCTTGTTAATATATATGGGTCTGTGAGTTACAGTAATGCCCTAATAGGAGATCATTTGTCCAAGTAAAGCCTCCCAGAATACTCTTGGAGGTGCAGCAGATAAACTAGATCTGGCTGGGCTGGGTCATCCCTTGCTCACTGGGTGTCACTCACCACTGTCCTGCAAAGGAATTGTGAAATAATGTGTCTATGACTAGAAACTGAGTGGGACAAATAGCCCTGGGGTATTTGAAAGGTCTTAATCGGCATTGTGGGCATTTTTCCTAGCAGAGGACAAGCTGCTGCCATGCGTAGGCTGGGAGTTTAGAAAGCACGGACCTTGATTACATAAGGCCAGCCCATCTGAGGCTGGCAAGCAGTTGTCATACGGAGTATGTGAGCTGGCTAAATGAGAGTATGTGCTCTGTTAGTTGGATTTTATGCCCTTTGGTTCATTTTTCTTTTTTCCTTCCCTTAACTTTAAAGTCTCTTATGAGAATATCACTTTGTCACAAGGGAACCAGAGAAAGGAATCCTGATTGTGGACTCTGTTCCAACTAGCATGCAGAGGGAGCCTTGTTTCTTGAGACCCAACCACAATGGTGGTCAAGGGAACCAAACTAAGACAGCCCCAGGGAAGGTGAGATGTGTAGGGTCAAGCCAAAGGAGAGAGTCCCCTTCTCTAACTCCTCATTTCAGACTTAAAGGGTTTATGATTTCTTTTAAAATAAGAAAAGCCATTTTTTAAAAATATAACTCCATTGATTCCTTGCCTCCAAGATTATTTAGTCAGACACCTTATTTTCAGAATTGGTATTTTCTGGATCAGTGTTAATCCTAGGTGGGAGTTGCCTTTATCAATCCAAACCTACGTGCCAGGTTCTGTATCTTAATCACATGCAGAACTACCATTTCTAAGAGAAGCACTCTCAGATCTTTCAGGCACCCAGTTCATCATATATCATTGTCATATTTTATATGGCATGTCATGCAGGTGGGATAGTTGATTGCCTCAAGTCTTGGTAACACTTTGCTGCATGAACACAGACAGGGACACCGGCCAGGCTTTGAGATGATTTCTCAGGTCACTTTTGTCTGATGGCAAATGCCAAAAAGGCCCATTTCTCATCAGTATATGGCAGTGCTTGGTCTCAAATTGCCTGAGGGCAGGGAAGGACTCAGAAGGCAAACTATATCTTCTGCATGGGTTCTTTCTGTTGAATCATTAAACATAGTCCCTCCCCTCTGGGACGGCTCACCCTATGTAACAGAACTGCCAGAAGTGAGCAGAAATCATCTCCATGTAACGTCCTCTCACTGATCTCATTTCTCACCTTTTCACGTTACCTTCCAGTTAAACAGGCTATCTTCAACAAATAATTTTAAAGTCATACTAATGCTTTCTCACAGCAAGGCTATTTATAGATTTTTGTATTTAATAGAATTTTATTTTTGATCGAAATTTATTGTGGCCAGATTACTACAAAAAGATAAATTTTAAAAGCCCTTTGCTCATGAATGAGATGAAATTTTGAAGATCATTTGAGATTTCACTTGCTTTTTTGCTCACTCCAATTGACATTTGCAAGAGTTTTAAAAACACTGAGATTTAAAAAAAAATAATATCCTCAGTTAAATTAAAAATGCTCTTAAGTGTTTGCTTCATTATAAATTGGAAGAAAAGGATAGAAAGAAATAGAGGCCAGTCCCTAAACACTCTCTGTAGCCACTTGCTTGTGCTTACCTTGGGTTGGATGGCCTCCTTCTGGCTCACCAGCTGAGACCTCAAGATGAGCACTTCCTCTTTGCGGACATCGAGCTCCTCACTCACAGACGTCAGCTGCTCCATGAGGACACAGTAGGCTGGCGCACCTGGAGCAGTCACCTCTGGGGCACTTTTTTCACTAAGGGCCTTGCGTAACTCATTTAACTCATTTTTCAGTTTTTTGTTTTCTGATTCTAGTTCTTGACGCTGTATGAAGAGATAAAGAATAGTTCATCATTGTCATCCTTAGCTTTACATTGGGATGCTCATCTTCCCCCAAGATGGTAGAATTCTACTGAGAAAAGACTGTCCGAGCTACCCTAGTGAACAGCTTCCCAGGTTCTACTGAGAGCTCTGCTCTGCAAATTAAAGAAGTCTGACATCAAGTGAAATTGAGCAAGGTGAGTGGTAGTTTGCTTCATCAACCTAAATTCCAGAGTCAAATTTATTCCAGGCCTTTCCAGGGTGTGTTCACAGGCCTGGAGAGATTGCTGAGTTCCAAGGGATGAGTTTTAGCTCAGTCCTGGAAGCCGAGGTTTTGTTTGTGGGTAAATATATGGGCAACTATGAGGGTCCAGCTGGTCAGGTTATTTCCAATGAATAGTTCAAATGAGTAGACCCCTGAAATCTTGAGTAGCATCCTCTTATTCTCTTTGTAAAGCAGAATGGAAAGACCACTGACATCTTAGGATTTTAGCTTCTAATAAAAAAGTACCATATCATTTAAACTAATAAAATTCCCTTTAGTGTTTTCATAGTATCAAATGATATTTTTTTGATATTTATTTCCTGTAGGACATGCTTATATAGTTGCTGGCAGAGGCCTTGAGAGGTTGGAGGAGAGGATGGGCCACCTCTTCTTTCAGCCAGATAGAAATACACATCCTTTACTCCCTCCATACTTACACATACTACCCACCATCCTTATGCCACCAGTTAGCTGCCCTCTGCACATTCTGCTCAAACAATGGCAATGGGAACCCATAATAGAGTTCTAATGCTGAACTATATTTACCGACACTGAAACATAAATGTCACAAGACACCAGCTGGAGAAGAGTGAAGTAGACAGTCATTTAAAAGCACCAGGGTACCTTATTTAGCATATGATAGAAGGCCTTATGACAGAGGACGTGAGGTACTTTTGTATACAGATAAATATTTTATTGTTTCTTCTAGAGAAGCAGTCTTGAATTTATTGTACCATATCAGACCTTTTAACATGTTATATAGTAAAATGATTTAAAGTCCTTTTTTTCTAGTTTAAGAATATATAACCCCTTCTTTCATGACTGAATCCATTTTTATGTAAAAAAGAACGCGACTTCAAATCCCCAGTCTCCCACCAACGGGTAATCAGGTTCGCATTGCTCATTTCCACAACAAGAAACATGACTGTCTTTATTTTGACATCTAAGCTCTGACCTCAGTGTGCATCAGGACCACCAGGTTGCTGGGCCCCAACTCCAGAGTTTCTGATTCCATAGGTCTGGTGTGAGGCCCACAAATTTACATTTCCAAGTTACTAGGTGATGTTGATGCTGCTGGCCCAGGGATGGCATTTTGAAAACTACTGGTGCTAATGCTCGGGAACTCTGGAATCTGGGCTTCATTTTTAACATACTACAGTGAATGTCTTTATTGTCCATTTTTGTGTGAGGCAGGCAGAGGGAGAAGATCTGGAAATCAGATTTCTACCCCCATTCCTCTGACCTGTCCCATCCCATCTGATTCTTGTCTTGAATGACCCATATCACAATTTGGTCTTCTAGACAAAGAGTACAAAAGGCAATGAGAGTAAAAGGAATAGAAATAACCATTTGCTGCCACCCTTTTCTCCTTTCACAAATGTAAATACTACCTAAGTAGTACTTTCATTGAAGTAACAAAAGATTTCTTTATGTTGCAATTGGAAAGGATAAAAGGGTCCTTTAGGGTATTTTAAAAGTAAATAACTATAAATTTTTATAAAAATTAGCTTTCAAACAAGTGACGATAAGAACCTAGGATGTTTAGAAAGTCTGCTATTGTCTGGAAACCGAGATTCAAAATCAGCCTGATAGTAAATCTTTTAACTGTTCTAAACTTCAGTTTACTAATATTTAAAAAGAAAATAAAAAAAACTTATTTCAGAAGCTGTGACAATGACTAAATAAAGTAAGGTGTAGGAAAAGCTTTTCGAGCTGTAAGTAAAGGTATTAGTCAAGTGTTTATTAAACATCAGTGGAAGAGTTCTAACTATCTTCAGGGGAAGGGGCTGATAAAGAGTTGTGGGTTTAGATAGGGTAGAGGAAAGGCATTCTCTATACTAAAATGCTGTAAGGCCTGAAGAGAAGGCAGTAATCAGCAGTTCTTGACCATGAGAAATGGCAGAGGACAGGGTCCAATTAATGTGCATAAATTATACTCTAAATCGCAGTATTAGGAAATAATATATTTGGACTAGACTTGGAATAATATTACTGAAAAACAGAAAAAAAACTTTATGCCAGTTTAGAGAGACCCGATGAATTCTCAAATATACATAAAGGCTTTAAAATAATATGAGTTTCTTTATGCTATTTTGTGGCTTTTCTAATTTTTAGTTTTGTTCAATTATAATCATAAACCTTACTATAATTTTCCAGCTATTCTATACTATAATTTGCAAAGCAGAAAATAGCAAAAAATTGACATAAGCAGAAAATTTGAGATAAATAAATTTAAGGCTAATAAAATAAATTAATAACTGAGAAAACTTTTGAAGCTGGAGGTGTTTTGATAGCTAACAGCCTGATAGCTCAAACTTTGTGGGGCTCAAAACGTTCTGATTGTGGAAAGCTGAGGAAGGAGCCAGGTGGGACACAGCCTGCTCTGTATCAAAGAATAGGCCCTTTTTTTGTTATTAATTTTTAAACTTCACCTCTTGTGTTACCCAAGATGCTCTGTATTTCAGGAACTACTATTCCTAATCCAGTGTCTTCTCCTGAGCTCTGGAACACACAGTGACAGCTTACCACTGTTTAGTTAGACGTTGCATTTAACCAAGAAGAAGACACAATTCTCCACCTTCATCCCCCTCCTCCCGTTTTTTTTTTTTTTTTAATAAGTTAAAATATGTTTCTACTCTGCAAACGAATACTTAGCGACCTTTGTCTACAAACATATAGTTTCAGTGAGGTTTGGTGGTTAGAGCAGGTGACTTGGAGCCAGAGACGCCTATGTTCAAACCCTGGTCCTAACAGTTTCTAGTGGGGTTATTTTAGGGAAGTTACTTATATCTCTTAGCCTCAATTTCTTCATCCATAAAATGAGAACCAAAATGATGACCTGCAGGATTTTTATAAGAATTAGAGCTGATGTGTAAAATATCTGTATTTAAAAATAACGATAATGATAGCAGCCAGCATTTGTTGTGTACTTACTACATGTTGGGCCCCATTCTAAGCAGTTTACATAGATTACTTCATACAATCCTCATGACAAATGATTATCATCATTCCCACTTTATAGATGAGAAAACTGAGGCACAGAAAGGGTAACTTGCACACAGCCCTAGTGACAGATCTAGCATTTGAACCCAGGCAGTCTGATGCTAGAGTCCATGTCCTTTACTACCTTCTACTGACTCAAACGGTAGCTACTGGTTCTATTTTTGTTTAGACTGAACTCTAGCTTACATGGAATAGAATCTATAAAAGGAAAAGAACAAGGCTAGAAGTAATGCCTGAAGAAGGATTAAGCAAGGGCCTCAGGTGTCCTTAAGAATGATCTATGAGAAAACGAGAGGCTCTGAGCAGGTCTCTTGCCAAAACAAGATATTAAAATTCTTGGGCAGAAACTTCTCATTACCTTGAGTGACTCATATTCCAGTTCTGCACCTCTAATTTGCGGTCGTTCTTCCTCCTAAGGAAAACATAAAGTTAAAAACTTCATAAAGAAGTAGTTATATTTTAATCGTTAGATTTTTACCCTCAGAATAAAACAGAGAGGAGAGTTTGGTCCTCACTACTTCAACCAAATGCAGCTTGGTTAAAGTATTTCTGGGATGAGTCCTGTTAAAGAAGAGACTGAAGAACTCGACATAAAGTCCTAGCTTCAGTGCTCGGCTTGCTCGCGGCCCTTGGGTGGGACAGCACTGCTCACCTTTGCTTTGCTACGGAGCACCTGCTCTTCTTTGCGGTCCAGTTCATCTTGCATCACCTGCTTCTCCTGCTCCAGCTCTGTGACCCGCTTCTGGAGCTTGAGGAACAATGACATATCCAGAGGCACCTTCTTCTCGCTTGGCTCCTAAAATCCAGAAAAATTAAGGTGGTCAAGGCGATCCAAAAGATGTACAAGCCAATGAGAAAATGAAGAACAGTCCAAGAGAAATACAGGCATACGTAGAGAAGAAATATAAATGGCCAAAAAATATACAAATAACATGTCCAACTTAGGTAATAAATGGAGAAATGGAAGTTAAACAACAGCGGAGTACTTCTTTTCCCCTGTCACATTGGCAAAGCCTGAGAAGATTAATAATGCCGTGTATTTGTAACAGTGTCTTATATAATATTAGTGGAAAGTATAAGTAGGCCTTTTAAAAGAGCAAGTTAGCTGTATTTATTAAAAGTTAAATGTGTGATATCCTTTAACCTAATATTCTATGTTTAAGAATTAATCCTATAGAAATATTTACATAAGTACAAAAAAATACATGGAAAAAGATGTCCATTGCAGCATTTTTTTGTAATTGGAAAAAAACAGAAAGAACTCAAATGTCAGTCAACAGGAGAGCTGCTTAAATAAATTACAGTATAGCCAAACTATGACATATTTCATAGCTGTTAAAAAGAATGAAGTATAGCTACATAAGGAGATAAATATGTCCTAGATAAAAATATTAAGTGAAATACATAAGTTGCAAAATGGTATGTATATTATGATCCTATTTTTTGTTAAAAAAATAAAATATCTGACTTTTAAACATACCTGGCACATGCCATACAAACATCTAGAAGGCCATCGATGGTTACTTTGGAGAATGGAAGGTACTACAGGAAGGTTTCATTTTATACTTTACACATTTCTACATTTGAATTCTTTTTTAATCAGGAAAAATAATTTTTGAAAAGGTGAAGTGTTAGCATAAATATACTGAGATTAGAAAGAGAGAAAATTGAAAAACCAAATCAAATATAGCCCTTAATAAACTGAAAGATAACCTAGTGGCATTTTAAAAGTATGTCAGTTGGTTTTAAAACAGAATCACTGTGAGAACTGCTACAATGATAAAGACACACTAATTAAAGCTAAGCATATGGAAAGAACTAACCAACATGGAAGTTCTGAGAGAGCCATAATTGTTTTCTTGTATATATCAGGTCCGAACTTTTAATGAGGTAAGAAGAAAAAGAATTATATCCTTAGATTTAATGAAAAGGATAAGAAGTTACTCTTTGTTAGAGAAAAAGAGACAGAACAGTAACAATAATTAAATTTATTTAAGTGGTCAATTCTTAACTGATTAGCAAATCTCATATTTCCAATTGTCGATTTTTAAAAAAAATGGTTTTTTTTTGTCCTGATATAAAAGCAAAATACATTTAGGAAATAAGAAAAGTACAAAGCAAAATGCAGGCATAATCTTATATCCAGAGAAAACCCATACTTTTTGTATAGTCTTTTTTCTATAGATTTATAGAACTGGAAAGTTTTCATTATAACTTTGTATTGTCTTTTAAGCTTAGCATCATATTATAATTGGTTTCCAAAGTTACAATATGATATTTGAAACCATAACTTTTAATGGCTGTATTGACATCTTTACAATAATTTGCTTAGTTATTACTTTAGTGATAAGCATTGAGGTTATTCCTAAATTTTTGCTATTGAAAGATACTAAAATAAACATCCCAGTACATAAATATCTAAACTTTACTAAAATAAACATCCCAGTACCTAAATATCTAAACTTTAACATTTTTAAGTCTGTTAAACTGGTTGGACCAGTTTGCACTTCCATCAGCAGCCACTACCTTTCCTAGAACAGCAATGACTGTTATTTAAAAAAAAAAAAAAAGAAGAAAGAAATTGGCTTAGAACAGCAATGACTGTTATTTAAAAAAAAAAAAAGAAAGAAAGAAAGAAAGAAAGAAAGAAATTGGCTTAGTTGATAGACCAAAAGTGGTATTTCATTGTTGTTTTAATTTATATGTCTTTGCCTTTTGATAAGGTTGAACAATTTTTACACTCATTAGTTATCTTTGGTCTTTGTGAATTCTTAGCAGTGCCAAGTTTAGTGTTATTGCCGTTCTAAAAAAACACCTAATAAAAATCAACTAAACTAAGAAGTGGGGCATTTATAGACTACCAGGGTCATTTACACACAAACTGGTTAGACCTGGGCTTTTTCTTACTATATACGTTTGTAATGCTCAAAAGAGAAAGTTTAGGTATATGATCTTTATCATAAAATCTATCCTGACCTAGCAGAACAGAGATAACATCCTGCCTGAACATGAAATTACTACAGAATTCATTCATACAAAAACTAATTTTTTTACATCCCACAAATACTTACATTTTAGCTTATTTACAATGTAAACATTCCATCTTATGTATTTTTAATGTTTATCTATTAATGACGTATGTATCCCTGAAATTTTTAATTATTTAATCTTGTTTTACACTATAATAGAAGCCTTCATCCTATGAAAGAATATAATACTGATGTGTCATCATTGTACCTGAAATGTCATCATTTGGAAATCATTCCTTTTGGCCTTGAATGGGCATTTTTGTTTAAAAGGAATTCCCTTATTAAAATAGGATGGGGTAACTCTTTAGATATCAGTTAACATTACATAAAGAATTAACTGATTGCTAGATAAGAGCAACATTCCATAGATAGGAACATTAAAATAGAAGATGGAAGAACACAAAAAAATAACATTTAAGAACTGCAAAATTGCCTGAGGCACAACGATTGGTAATTATTTAAGAGAGCTCTGGATGATGCCCATTTTTCTCCCTAATGACACATCTAATTAAAGAGATGCCATCTGTCCTCTACGCCACATGAGCATCAAGGAAGACTGGGTTATCTGGCTCACAGAAGTTCCTGTGGTTTTGTTATGCTTTCCTTCCTCAGTAGGACTTTGTCATCTGGTGCTTTTCCAAGAGAATGAATCTTTGAAACTGACCTTTAAAAAATATTACGACAGTCTCTCATCTGAGGAAAATCAGAAATAGAATTTATTCACAAAAATACCACCACAAACCTGACAGTCATTCTGGAATTACTGTTAACAAGAGGTGAGAAAGTTATGGTGGCCCTTTTCTTGGGTTTGACAGGTGTGAGAAAGCTCAAGAGCAAAAGCAGAACTGGGATAATTAATCAATGGCTACTAAGAAAGATGGATGACAGAGCAGGGAGAAGCAATGGTCCCCAAAGAATGCAACCCCAGACCATGAAGATGCTGGAGGGCTCCAAAGCAAGTGGAGTTGTCAGGTGAGTTCTGCAGAGAAAAATGGCAATGGAGGTGCCATTGCAGCTTGTGAACAACAACTCACAGGTTTGGCAAAGCTAGAAAGGCATTAATTTTTTTTTTAATATTAAATTTTGCTGTTATTACATAACTGAGGCTGAAATTCTGTGATCCAAAACTGTCTGAAAGATCTCTATTTTAATTCAAAATAAAAAATCAGTGCATAAACAAGAGTGGGCCCATTATTTTTCTGGCACCAGGTTCTAAAAGAGGTACTTGAGAATATTATCCATAGGAGCTAAAAGTTTTCCTTTGGCTTGTTAGGGGCAATCTGTAAACCTGGTCATTATAGAGATAGCTGCAGGAAGAAATGCAAATCTAGAAGTCATAAGTAATTTGAAGTACAAATTCACAACCATAGTCTTAGTCTGATACTTTTGCTCAACTTTCCTTCTTCAATCTCTCTTTATTATCAGTTGTAGAGATTTCCATCTTTCTGATATTGACCATATCCAGTCAGAAGTACAGAGTGGTCACTAGAAGCTTGTTTATCAGAGCAAAAACATTTATTTAGTGAACACATACTGTGTATCAAACACTGTTGTAAGTATTGCACAAAAATTAATTCATTTACTCTTCAAAACATCACTCTAAAGTAAGATAAAAACAACATTGCCACTTCACAGATGAGGAAACTGAGGCACAGAGAGATTGAGGCTAAGGTTATGAACTCAGTCCCAGGGAGGAGAGTTACTGTCCCATGGTAAAGATAGCACTCCTAACCAAAGCTAGCTACATTTCAGATCACGCACTTTGTAACAAGGAACAAGTGTGACAAGCCCAGTGAAAAGCCTTCCCCGTTACTGAGAGAAGACTTCCAGGTGCATGACCTACTGCTAGTGGTCAGTGCCAGTGAACGAGAGTACACGATAGTCTAAGATCCATCTGTGATTTCTGGAGCACGATTCATACTTCATTATTCAAAAGATATGAAAAAAGTACTGAATCTCACTTTAACTTATTTCTTAACTTGAGAAAAGATTTGGCAGAAAACAGCTAAGAATTAGAAACAAAAAAGTTATCCTTCCCTTCAAATTTGTAAAACTTTGGAGAAAACTTGAAAAGAGTAGAGACTCTGAAAAATTCCATTACTAATAAAATTCAGTTAAGCTCATTAAGAGTTTTCGAGTTTAAAAATGTAATGCCCTCAATCAAAACTACCTACAAGAGGCCTCTTTGTCCTGAGTTTAGTACAAATTAATTTGCAGCAAACAGACCCTTTTTGCCATGGCTCTCCTCCTCCCATGCAGGAGCTTCTCAGCGGTATTACACTGAAGCCAACAGTTTGTAAACACACTTCCCACAGACTACTGGAAGGAGTACTCCCATCAGGAGCAACAGGATGAAATCCTGAAAATTTTATATCCAGTAGAGGCTCAGAAGTTGTAATTCTGGCATCTTCAAAGTCTAAATTTGTGGGAGTCTCCAAAGATACCTTTCCTCCCATCAAGTGACAGAGTCTATCCTCTCCCCTTGAATCTGAGCTGGCCTTGTAATTCGTTTTGACCATGGAATGTGGCAGAATTGACATTGTACCAGTTCTGGGCCTGGCCCTAACAGGCCTGACATCTTTTACTCTTGTACTTTTAGAACGCGCTCACTACGCTGCTAAAGAGAGTAGTTACATGGAGAGGCCCAAGAAGAGAACCTGGGCACCTCAGCTAAATGTAGGGAGGGACTCCAATCACTAAAATGTGAGGCAGAAGAACTGCCCAGTCACAATCCAAAGAATGCAAGCAATAATAAATTGCTGTTGTTTGAAACCACTAAAGTTTGGGATGGTTGGTTACACACCTGGAACAACCTTGATCCTCCTATATACTGGCCATACTGCTTTATCGAGGGTCCCTAGCCTATCGTCAAGTATAGACAGAAATGGGACTGGAGAATTACATGGTAGAATCCCTGGACAGGAAGAGGTAGAGTAAGGAGCTCTGAACAGACAAGCCCTAGGTAGAATACTGGCTCTGCCACTTACAGGCTATGACATTGGACAAGTAACCTAGCCTTCTTATATATATGATTCCAACTATATAACATTTTTCTTTAAAATGAACAGACTGAGAAGACAAGAAAAGAAAGAATCATTCCACTTTTTTTCAGCTGTTTTGCAAGAAGCAGTCTATTTGTGACTTGGCCATTTTCTCAGAATGTAATATAAAAATAGAAGAGTTGTGCCTGAATTACCCATTACTGAAACTAATATTATAGTTGAAAAGAAGATCTGAGAATTGGTTTGGGAACAATCTACTAACTTAAAGTCATGGTACCCTTGGAGTTACAGCGATACGTTATTTTGGTTTTGTACCACATAACAGAAAACACTAAGCCAGATTTATAAGCTGTCTTTCATGCATTTTTATAGAAGAAAATTACATTGGTAAAAACCGTCATCAAACAGAGGTAGCAATTTTGCTAAACTCTTGGGCACTGGCATTATATTATTCAAGGGCAAAGGGCTTACTTTTTAAAAAATCTACCTCAGTCTGAAATAAATTCATGACAGACTATATTTTTATATAAAGAATAAGTTAAGGTGTAAAAGGGAATTACAAACAGGAAAATCTGATCATCAAAATTACATTAAAAATTAAAATGTCTATAGACAAAAAATATATGCAATAAGTATGTATGTACGCAGCTAATTAAGTACCTATAAGTCACTCATGAAAAATAAACAGTTCAAAACAAATGTTACATTTATGGGCAAATGAGGTCTACTCTGCAATGGAAATGTTCTCCGTTAATAATAGCATGATCATATCCTACTTTTAGTGATAGATAGTTGTCTAAAATGTACCTCTGTCCTCAATGGAATGTCTTCAGTGTCTGCAATTTCAGAGCTAAAGGTGTATTCAGACTCGTTGCTGCTGTGGGTGGAGTCTGTTCTCTTGTGTCCAGGCTTAGGCACATTCTGCAAGGCAAATAAACCAGGTATAATTAATACAATGTAATTAAATCAGGCATAGTTAGGACAGCGTCACCGTAACTTGGTTCTAATCTCTACTCTTTGACTTGCTGTTCTCATGCCCAAATGATCTGTTCCATGCTGTCCTGACCAAACCCTCACAAAAGGGTCACCTTCTGAGCTCCTCAAAGAACAAGAGAGATGCACCAGCAAGGCATGGTAAGAACCGTTGTAAAACCAAACACTCAAATAAAAATCATCTGTGATTATTAGTTGAGTCATCTTTGGGTTTTTAAAGTTGTGAGTGGCTGGCCAGTCACACTGGGTAAAACATAGGTATGATGCCTCAGTTTCCAAGCACTGACTTCAGTGTCGCAATCAAATAAACTTACCAAAAAGTTCATAAAATATGTATAATAAAAGCATGACCATTTTATTGCACTGCATATGGGCATAAATAGTAAAAAAAAAAAAAAAAAAAAAAAAGGAAAAAAGAAAGGAAAAAGAAGGGGATTCCACATAAGTGACTATAATTTCTGTCACTTTTTTGCATAAAGTTGACTCTGGAGTCAGCAGTGGGAAGGACCAGCAGTGCAGGAGAGACAAGTAAGCTGCTAAAAGAATTCTCTATGATCCTTGAGTTTTTAATTCAGGGAATCCAGGTGATACTTTATGACAGGTGGTACCTATGAAATTGTATTCAGAAAGCTTGTGGGAAGTAGGAAAGTTAAGCAATTGCAGTCCCTTCCTTTCTGTAGCAGAAAGGAGGAATGAAAAGGCTGGGTTTGTGCCACTCTCTCCTAGTGTGTC